TCTCTCTCTCTCATATATATATATATATATATATATATATATAGGATATTTCTACAGAACAGTAACATATGTCCTTGTAAAAATCTGTACCTTTTTAAAACATTTAACTGAAACATCCATTTTTGTTTAGCTTTGTTAATCAAAGTTGTTTTAAGAATCAAAACTAGGTTGTGACTGATATCAGTACATAACAGTGCCTATAATTTAATTTTCTCTTTATACAGACAAATACATTTTAGGTTCACTTGACCAAGTTCTTACATACCTTTTAAAGGCTTCAATGTTGTCCTTTAAAAAGAAAACAGCAGTGTATCATTCCAGGTTATATGAAGAGAAGTATAAAGTGTGTTCTTAATCTTTCAGTTTATTTAACAAAAATATAGTTAAATGACCCAATTATTTATATTTTCTGAATTAATTTTATAGGATGTTTTATAATTAATAAATTTCTACTTTAAGTGTAAATATAAAAAGGGAGATTTTCAAGGTTCTCACACACACACAAAAAAACCCAGTAGCTTTCAAGAGTAGCAGGGCAGTGATACACAGAATTTAAAGTTACTTTAAAAAAACAACACATTATGGGAGTCAGAAGGACACAGGAATTCCCTATAGGATAGGCTACGGAAACCTGTGCCTCAAGTTTGACTGGCATTCAGGCTGGAGTTCATAACCAGCCTAAAGCACTTGATTTAGAACTAGACTAAATTAATCTAGCATTTCAGAGGCTTGCCTGTGGCCATATTTTATTAGCTTTGCATTTTATCACTACTAAAGGTCAAATGCATTTGAACTTTTCTGATTATGAATTTGAAAGGATAATCATTGCATATTAAAGAATTTTGAGGCAGGCTAGCATTCAGTACCGAGGAGTGTTGTGTATGCCTTCATTCAACTATGCATTTACAGGTGTTTGTTTCAATACTGTGGATAGACAATTTCGTTACTCATTTTATATAGATGAGGAAATGGAGCTGCATAATAATGAACTAACCTTTCATTGAGTAACTTTATTTCCTTTTGTGTGGCAGGCACTATGCTAAGGATTGGAGAGTTAGTGATATATTGATAGACTGATCCCCTGCCTTCACAGAACTCAAGTTGTCCTAGGGTGAGGAGACAGATTAACAGTGTCAAGAAGCAGCACCTTAATTGGGTGCAGTGAAAGTATAGGTGAGATGAGACTTAACACCGTTGGTTGCTATTGGGCAGACACAACTGGAGCCATGATTTTGTGGGTTTTTTGGAAGTGGATTCAAAAGAGTAGTGTAAGGTGAGGAAGCAGAGACATTGAGGATAGATAAGTTTTAGAGGAATTTTGAATCTTTTTTTTTTTGCACCGGGGATCAAACTCAGGTCTTTGTGCTTGCAAGGGAGGCGCCAGAACCACTGAGCTAAATCCCCAGCCTGGAATTTTGCATCTAAAGAAAGCAAAGAACTGGGTTGGAGTGGAATGTGGATGGGAGCAGAGTAGGGGAGGGAAGTGTGGAGCAGAGCCATTGTAACTGGCATGTTGGCATCTCTGTGACAGTGTTTCAGCAGTGGGACCTCGGAGAAGAAGGTCCTGAGCAGGATGACCTGTTACTATTGGGGGCATTGGCCTTCTGTAGGAGTTGATTTAAGGAAAGCAGGAAGTCTGGCCCCAGAGCTCTTGCTTTCAGCCATCCAGCCATGCTGCTTCTGCCAACCTGGAGGTGGCCCATCTGCGAGTAGACATGTTTGAAATAGTTGGGGAAATATGAGTATGTGCTGATGGTGATTGTGCTGGGTAATTATCTTTTCTAAGGCTGGGGATTTATCTCAGTGATGTCCCGCCTGCCTTGCAAGTATAAGGTCCTGAGTTCAATCCCTGGTATGGCCCCCCCAAAAAAAAACTTTTCTAGGATAGAGGTATATAAGCAAGTTTTGAATGGTAAAGTGATGAATCTTGGGTTTATTGTATTTCCCACAAAATAAGACTGGGCCTTATATTAATTTTTGCTCCAAAAGATACAAAAAGGCTTATTTTTAGGAGATGTCTTAGTTTTTCATGTACAGCAGTCTATATTCACGTACAGAATCTACACTTATTCATGTACACAAATCTACATTTATTCAAATATAGTTATGTCTTCTTCTGGAACATCATCTTAACTCTCAAACCCCTGAATTCTGGCTTGAATTTTTTGCCACTTCATATACTGTAGAACCATTGACCTTAGTTTCTCCTGTTTAGCAGTAGAGCTCTCTTCCTGTCCATGTGGACTGCTTGTAGTGCATTGGCAACACATCTGTCAGGTGATTTTATCCCATGCATTCTTTATCCAAGTCACAACCTCTTGCAGTTAGGTTTCACAAGTTGCCATTAAATCAAGTGTTAAATGAAGACTTATGAGACAGGAGTAGCAACAAAAATGATGACAGGTAAGAATGATGGTCCACACAGAAAATGATGAAAAATTGTAGGTAGGAAAATTCAGAAAACATTTCTTTACTTCCTGAGGTAGGGGCTACATAACAAGCATCCTGAAAGATTATTCTAGGGCTTATTTTCCAGTTATGTCTTATTTTTGGGGAAATACGGTATTTTGAAATACTCCAGTGTAGATGTAGGTCAATGGTGAGGTCTTAGGTTTAATCCCCAGCACGCTTCTCCACTAAAAAACCTCAAGGTTCTCGTTCCTCTCCTATTCCTTCCTCCCAGAAGTAGGGAAACATAAAACAGACCCACAAAGTTAGTATCTGTGATGCTGGGTAAAGAAATACAGGTTTGTTACATTTTCCTCTGCTTCTATGCATTTTTACCATTTTTCAAAATAAAAATTAGAGTTATATGGAGGTTTGCTGGATTCTGCTGTGTAACCAGCTTAGTACCATGGATCCTTTTTTCACTGTATGTCTCCCCCATCCAGGTGGCTATCACTGGACAGCTTGGTGTGAAGCCGCAGACTGGCAATAGCATTCCACTCACAGCCACTAACTTCCATATCCAGGGTAAGGATGTGCTGCGGCTGCCACCCTCTTCCATCACCACAGATGCCAAGGGCCAGACGGTTCTACGGATCACTCCAGACATGATGGCCACGTTGGCCAAGTCCCAGGTTACCACTGTCAAACTGACCCAGGACCTCTTTGGGACAGGAAGTGGCACTGCAGGCAAAGGCATTTCTGCTACCTTACATGTCACCTCCAACCCCGTGCATGCTGCTGAAAGCCCGGCCAAGCCCAGCTCTGCCAGTACATCTGCATCCACCCCAGCTGGTACTACTGTGGTCAAAGTGACGCCTGACCTTAAGCCAACAGAAGCCTCGAGTTCAGCCTTTCGCTTGATGCCGGCCCTTGGTGTGAGTGTGGCAGATCAGAAGGGAAAAAACACAGTGGCCTCCTCAGAAGCAAAACCAGCTGCCACAATCCGCATCGTGCAGGGCCTAGGTGTGATGCCTCCCAAAGCAGGCCAGACCATCACTGTTGCAACCCATGCCAAGCCAGGGGCCTCGGTAGCCAGTGGGTCTGGAACGGTCCATTCTTCAGCAGTGTCTTTGCCCAGTATGAATGCTGCCATGTCCAAGACTGTGGCTGTGGCTTCTGGGGCTGCAAGTACCCCCATCAGCATCGGGACAGGAGCCCCGACTGTGCGGCAAGTCCCTGTCAGCACCACAGTTGTGTCCACGTCCCAGGCTGTGAGTAGCATCAGTGGTAAAGAGTGGCCCTCTGCTCAGGGAACTTCTCTATAGATAATGGAAATAGAAACCCTGTCCATATTACCTCATTTGACCCAAACAGATTTACTTACCAATAGACCTTTTTTTTTGAAACTTACAAAACTCACAGAAGCATAGTAGTACATGCATACATTCTTGTAAAATATTAAAGATGGTGCTGGAAGCACTGAGTGAAATATAAAATTTCTTCCACTGCCCCTCCAGTTCTCCCTTCACAGGGGTTGATTGTTGGTAATATGGCATTTATCCTTCCAGTCCTTTTCCTGAGTATTTTCATTTGTATACTTGTAGTTTAAAGAAAACAAAACAAAGCCATAAGACTGCTGAGAGCCTCTCTCCCATATAAAGTTGCTTTATTTATTTTTAAAGAAAAGGTCTTGGAGATTGTTCTAGGCCGTACACAGAAATTGTGTTCTCTTTCGTATAGCAATCTATAGAATGGATTCTGTTGCAAGATGCATTTCCACTGTTACCAAGGCCATGGTGAGTGCTCTTGTACATGTGTTTGAACATATTTAAGTATTTCTGAAGCAGAGATTGCTAGGATGAGTCATGAAGTTCATGTATCAAATGCTTTCATGCTCTAATTGCACTGTACCCAGGACACATCAGCTTACATTCCTATCAGCAAGTCTGCTGTGTCCCTCAAAGTAGCCAGGCTGCTTGTTCAAGTGCATTCCTGCCTTACTGATGGAAAGCAGTTCTCTATCACTTTTGCTTCCCTGATCACCAGTGAGGTTGAGCTTCCAGTCATGTGGAGCCTGCCTGCTTCTCTAGTGACATGTAAACCTTGACTCAAGTTTTGAGAAGAGCGGTATTTGACTTTTTCCTATTGTTGAAGGTGACCCGTATAATTATATATGTATAGAAATGTTTTCTTCTAGTCTGTCCTTTTTTATTACAGTGCTGGGGATGGGACCATGGGCCTTGGCATGCTACACAAGCACTCTGCCATTCCTCTAGTTGTCCTCTTTGAACCTTTAATTTGGAACCTTTAACTGTACAGAAATTTGTCATTTTATCTGATTAGTTCTATCAACTTTCTTTTAATGGTTCTTAGGTTTTGAGCCTGTACCTTCTTTACCCCAGGGTTATAGAGATAGCTTTATTTTCATAAAATTTGAGTTAAAAAAATCATAATTGGTAGTTCATTTGAAATTTAGTTTTGTGAATGGAATGAGTGATTTAATAATTTTTGTTTTTTAAATTTTTTTTGTAATGGGGATCAAACTTGGGACCTTGCACTTATGAGGTAGGCAGTGGCACCACTGAGCTAAATCCCTGGCTATAATTTCTAAAATTAGTGCAAAATTACAAACTGTTTCCTTTCCTGATAGCTTGAAATAACCCCATTTATCACACCCCTATCCACATGGGTGTGTGTCTGAATGTGTGTGTGTGTGTGGCCTCAAGGTAAGAAGCACTGTTCTAATGGGATAAATAATGTAAAAAGTGGCATAGGAAAAGCTCAGTAATTTTGGTTAAGAGCCAGAATGATGGAGGACACATGTTATTAAAGTAAGCAAACAGAAAACCCTGACAGTGTGGTTTAAAAGAAAATTGTTTAGCTTTCTGTATCACAGAAGAAGAGTAAGGAGGGCCGTGGACATAACTCAGTGACACTGCAACTGCCTTGCAAGTGCAAGGTCCTGAGTTTGATCCCCGGTACCACACACACACACAAAAAAAAAAGGAAGCAAAGAAACTGCTTACCTACTAACCCTGTCCCTTCTTAAATCCTAAAACAAAGGTCTGCAGTGGTGTCTCCTTTGTAGGCAGAAACAAATGGAGAGTATTTGGCAGGGCAGGAAGTAGTAGGAGGTGCCTTTCTCCTGTCCAGTCATCTAGTTAAGCAAGTTCCATTTAGTGTACTGCTTATCTGAGATGTCATAAGCATCCTTCAGAATTAATAAAGTGACAAGTGAATCCCTGTGGAGGCAGCATCTTGAGGTATTTTCTGCCTGCTGTCATCTGTAATAGGCCGCAGATTTAGTAAACTTTGCAGAGGTGGCCTGAGCCCTGGAGCAGTGTGAGTGCCTGGCCACTTCAGAATTAGTCTCCTCATGGGAGATGCCCAGGTCTTTTCCAGGTTTAATCTACACAAGATTTTATTACATATAAATTGGATTACTGGGTTGGGAATAAATTCAGTGGTAGAGCCCTTGCCTAGCATGTGTTTGTTCCCTAGCCCTTCAAACAAAAATAAAACCATCCAAGCATCAAGCATTAGAAATGAAGCAGCCTAAGAACAGGATGTAGGTACAGTGACCAGTCTTTTCTGTTTCTCCTCCTCATTGTTGTCCTCTTTCTTTGTGGTGGTTCTTGGACCTTATTAGCTTGTCCCCAACTAACCTCTTATCTCTGGGAGAATCAGAAAGCACCTGGAGAATGTGGTAGTTCCTCCTCTGTGTGCTGCACTTCTCTGTGGTTCACCAATGAGCCTGCATTCCAGTGAGGGAGGACAGGTGGCACTGCACTTGCTGTGTTAACTCCTGAGCATCCCATTCTTCCTCATGTTTGTTTCATCGCAGTTTCTGTGCTCCCAGCGCTGTGCCATCTGTTAGCACCAAAGTGTGTAGTCTGCTTCTCAGGCTCGGAATCTAGGAGTGTGCATTAGTAAACACACATTTGCCTTTGTGGTTCAGGTTTTATCCTAATGAAGGATACAGTTACTGTCCCTTAGGTAGCATGAATGAAGATGCTGTGACCCATCAATTGACACCTAACTGGCATGTGCCCTGGAGCTACCTAGGTTCAGATTCCTGGTAGGAACAGGGACTGAAAGCACCTGTAGTGTTTGCCCCTCCTTTCTTGTCCTCTCTAGGTGACCCTTAGTGGTTTTCCTCATCTGCTATTATCCATGGAAACTGATTGCTCTTTCTTTGTAGGGGAAGCTGCCTACACGTATCACAGTCCCGCTCTCTGTGATTAGCCAACCAATGAAGGGCAAGAGTGTGGTCACAGCCCCCATCATCAAAGGCAACCTTGGAGCCAAGTGAGTGCTGTTTGTAGTGAAGGGCAAGTGCTTTTAATGTCCTTGTCACGGAATGGGAAGTTGGCTGGTGTTTCTGCTCCTTCCCTCATTTCCTTTTTGAGCTCACCAGTAATATTTATTGAATGCCTAGTACTGTTTTCTAGGGAGAGGAACTAAAAAAAAATAATAAATTAAGTGGTAGAAAAGCAAAAAAGGTAGGGCATGGGAAGTGCTGGGTTGGAAGTGTTAAGGTAGGCCTCAGGACTGAGGAACCTCCCCTTGGATAGATGACAAGTTCTTGTGTCCATGACTTAAACAGAGGTGTTAGGCCTCAGGACTGAGGAACCTCCCCTTGGATAGATGACAAGTTCTTGTGTCCATGACTTAAACAGGGATAGAGAGCATGGTGAAATTTGTCCGGAAGTCTCAAGCTTGTGTGAAGAGGCTGTTGGGGAGAGGGGGAGTCTCGTTTTTGAAGAACGATGTCTTACTGTGTTGCCTAGGCTAGCCCAACTCCTAGGCTCAAGCAGTCCTCTGAGTAGCTAGAGCTACAGTGTACTCTGCTGTGGTGAGCTGGGGGTGGGGGTGGGGTCCCTTGCCAAGAGCACACTGAGGGTCCTGCTTTACTGCTGCTTGGCAAGGGTGTAGAGTGTAGGGCCATTTTATTTATTGCTCTGGGGCTTTCTGGGCTTGTTCTTTTCTCCTGCTGTAGGAGGGATAGAGGCTGGAAGAAAGGTGTTCTTAGTACTGGTTCCATTTGATTGCAGAATGCTGGAATTTTTCACGGGCCCTAGACCTCCCTGTTGTCCTTCAGTACGCAATCTAGATATGGACTGGAAGAATATCCTGCGATGTGGTTATACCTTACACCTGCTTTTTCCCTCCACAGCCTCAGTGGGTTGGGCCGCAATATCATTCTTACTACCATGCCAGCAGGTACAAAGCTCATTGCTGGCAATAAACCTGTTAGCTTCCTCACTGCCCAGCAGTTGCAGCAGCTTCAACAACAAGGTCAGGCCACACAGGTAAGGTCCAAGGCAGACTCTTTGCCATTATCAGGCTTCTCTGTTACTTTGCTGTTTTTAACTGTTGAGCCCACTTGCAATCTACTGACCAGACCTTCTCTCTTTTTAAACAGGTGCGCATCCAGACTGTCCCTGCATCCCATCTGCAGCAGGGCACAGCTTCTGGTTCCTCCAAAGCTGTCTCCACTGTTGTTGTGACCACAGCTCCGTCTCCTAAACAGGCACCTGAACAGCAGTGACTGTGAGAGAGGTGGTTTCTGTAAGGGACCACACCTGATTCATTCTGGCTGAAAGGAAGAGAGCAGGGGATTGCATCTTCTTCCGAGCTTGTCTGTCTGAGGCAGGCCAGGGGGAGGATGAAGGCAGGAGTGGCCTAGATTCTGCTGCCACGCTCCAAGTAGAGTCCCAAGAAAAGTTCTCTCCGGGCTTCCTGACTCTGCCTTGTACCAGTCCAGGGGAAGGTTCTGGTAGTATGGGAGGTCACAGTTAACAGCATACAAGCCAAAGTTCTCTCCTAAGAGTAGGGAAGGCTTACCGGTTACACAGTGGGCAGGCAGTGAATGAGCCTTGTTCTATGTGACAGTTGTATTTTTTAACTTCTAGTCTTTATGACTCAAGGTCTTGATATGAGATTTGTGTCCGGAAAATTTTGTGTAACTTATTTTTTTAAAGAACCCATTGTATATCTTTGTCAAATTAAAATCTGGGCTGTAGCCCCTTCCCCCAAACGGATTACTTGTTAAAATAGCAAGAATTTTGTTAAGTTGGGGGCTGACTTGATAATTACAGGGTTGTAAGATGGGGAAAACATGTAGGAAGTGAGGTGATACGCATTCCCTGAAACAGGATTAGTTTGGCACTGCCTCTTAAGATGGCACTGGGACTAATTGTGGTCCCTGCTTTCACCTGCCAACATTGTCCATGGCAAACCCATTCCCATGAAGTCCAGAGCTGTGGACAGAGCATAGAGCAGTGATAGTGACAGCACAGACTTGTTAGTTCAGACAGGAATCACAAACTAGGTCCTTGGTGTAGGCCACTGGTTTTTGTAATCAAAATTTTATTGGAACAGTCTGTCCCCATCCATTTATGTAGTATCTATGGCTGCCTTCAAATTAGAAGGCAAAATTGCTGGATGCCATAGAGACTGGATGGCCCTTATTCCCAAACTGTTTCTTCTATATACTTTTGAGAATAAACCTTGTTGACCCCTGCTCTAAAGGGTAGTTAGCAGGATGAGGGCTTAGGTGTGCAAGGTCAGGTGTTGCCTGGCATTCCTACTTCAGAAGAGGTCAGTCTGTGTTTGAAGTCATTTATTCCTAGCTGTTTCCCACTTCATAGCTCTGTCAGCTATAGGAGAGCTCAGGATAAGTCTTAGAAAGTCCTAAGTACAGAAGGCACTGGTGGATGACAGTGTACAGCTCTCGTTGTGGGGCAGAGGTAATGAATGGGCCAACTTTTCTGCAGTGACAGCATTTCCCTATCTCGAAAGTGTCCAAATTATTAAAATTTTGTCTTTAATCCACAGAATGTGATTATTTTTTGTGGGGTGTGGGTGGGGAGGTAAGTAGAAATGGCCTGATTTAGATGGTAGCTGAACCAAGGTTGGGTGATTGGGCAAGTTGCGAAGAGTGGCTTATTGGTTACCCTGTGATTTTACTATTTCGTTTGGTTCTTAAATTCTGTCAAATATATGTCATCAGCCTCCTGTTAACTGTGTGAAGGTGGGAGTCTTGAGTTGAAAAAGAGAGCAAGGTGAAAACCTAATCGTCTGATCCCAAGTTCCTTTTCTGCTGGCTTGTATGGGGAGGTGGCTGGGATGTGCTTCAGTGAGCCTTGGGACAATCAGAGTTGGGAGGTGGAAAACTGATTCCAAAGAGCTAGGGTGATACAGGGTAAGAGTGAGCTCTCGATGGGTGTGGAGGACTGGCTCAGGAATAAGTGAGGGCAAGGTGCGAGATGGGGACTTTGGTGAGGAGAGGGCCTTTTACCTGAGGAAAGGAGAGTCCATCTGTGTTTTACAGTACTCAGATGTGTACATCATTGTTACTTACAGAGTCATATTTCACAGAAGCCATGTTACTATTTCTAAACAAGAGAAAAGAAATTTGAGATATCCTGCCTCAGATATTACTGCTAGTTAAAAACAAATCCCTTCTCTATTTAACAAATGATCCCACAGAAAAGTAGCTGTGGTACTCAGCTTCAGCTCTATCCACCCTTTTATGTACTCTGCCTGTCTGCTGTATGTTGCCAACATGTGTGACCTTGAAAGCAAATATCATATACAGCCCACAGGCCATTTCAGGATATCGGGGTGGGGCTGCTCCCCGAGAAGTTGGGGAATGGTGTGGGTGGGAGCCCCACCTGGAATTGCTCCCGGTGATGGTACCGATGTTGGCACCCACATGCTTGTTGTGTGCAGACCTTAGCGCTTCAGGCAACGGGCTGTTGTGCTGGGTGTTTTGCAGGGAGCAATTCCTGTAGAGTTGCTGGTGGCAGTCACTGAGTGTCTAGGCTGTGGCTGGCAGATGTTAAAATTACTCAGACCACATGCCCAAGACAAGATTTGATGAATACTTTAATAGCACATTTGAGCATGTTTATGCCAGGGTTCATCACTTCCATGATGGTATCCCAAACCAAGCTGTGTGAAGGGCACTGAAAGAAATTAAATATTTTATACTTTGGACTTACTCTGGAGAATACATTTCCTTAAAATATTTTTCCCTTGAAAAATGTCACGTGTATCTTTTCTATGAAAGTAAAGCAGAGAACTGTTCATCTTCTCCAATCCTAAGGAAGGTGCATATATGTTTTTATGACTTGTTAACTGTAAGTCCCGCAGTACTATTTGAACAGATGTTTGAGTTCCTGCTCAGCTAGCAAACTATGTTAGATCTGGAAAGAGGACCCAAGAGTTTTATAATAACCAAATTAATGCTATTAGCAGCTCATTCCTAAACTGTGACTTCAACTCTGAAAGGCTGGATAGTCCTTCCTTAAGTTCAGTTTTTCTTCTAGAGGGCACGTAGATCTTTATATAAATTCTCTCTACTGGATTTGTTTGAAGTAGGGTGGGGTAGTAAGAAGGACTAGACAGTCAAGTCATACTAGAGACTTGCTTTGCCATGTGGTAGCTGTGTGTCTTTAGACTGACCAGCCTCTGAATTATGGTGTGGGCTTAAGGTGTAGTCAGTGATGAGACCAAATGAGATAGAATGCATCTCAGAATTGAAAAATGCTGTACCGAGGTATTCTTTGGTCTCTTAAGACCTTTCAATTTGGTCCTAGCCCACTTTTTCCATTTATATTCAGAACTATATCCCCATTCAATTCTCCATGTCCTTTCAGTGTTCTGTTGTTTTTGTATTACTGTTCTCTATGCCTGGAATGGGCATTTTCTTTCTATAGGGCAAACTCCTCCTTTCTTCTCCTTCATGTCTCATGGTTTGTGCTTAACGTTCACAGTGCCCATCACTGAGTATTCACCTGTAAGTTTCTCCCTAATGTGAGTTTCTCAGCTCCTTACTGAACCCATACTGGATTAATTCTTATAACCATTTCAGTGCTGGTGAAAAGTGAATGTTTAATATCTATTGAAGGAAGTTTTAGAAAAAAACACATCCAGAATCAAGACTATGGTATCAAAACTTAATTTACTAATTCAGAATTCATAGCTTTGCTTAGCTATGTTAAAATTCAAGCCCTTCCATAACCTTACATTCTCTCTACCTCATTGTACACATTCTTCTCTGTCCTTTTATTTCCTGCCTCTCCTTTAGGGTCAACTTGGAAGAGTCAGAACAGCTAATTCCAACTCTCAGTTCAGCTGCTAACTAACTTTCTGATTAAAAAATTACCTTTGGCCTAGTTTTATAACTTATCAACTGTGGAGCTGCAATGTTCTGATATGATTAGTTAGAAAATATTTAACAACATTTAAGATAAGTTTGTGAATTGCTTTTGATTTAAAAAAAATACCTAAGTTAAAATTGTGGTTCTAAATTAAATGCACTGTCATTCACATATCTCCTGATATCTTTTTGATAAAGTACCTGCTTCCTTGGAGAAAAAGAGGCAAATTATCAAAAGTAGCTGGATTCATACTTTGTTTCATCCAGAAAGCCACTTCCTGTTTTAGGATTTCAGTCTGGTTTCTGTACGTGGAGACACATGGGTTTACTGCTTACAGGTATTATTACTTCAGCATTCTTTATGAAGGATATTATTACACTACACAGACTTTAAATTATCATTAAAAATCCAAGCAATAAGACACACAAAGCAGAGGCCTAATTTCATGTATTAGAGCCTCCAGCTAAGTGAAGTGCTGTATATACAGTGCTGTAGGCGCAAGCCTCAGAACAGGGTAGGAGCTGCATTCACTCCAGCTGTTGGGCTCAGCAGGATGGGAGGTCTCCATCTCCGCATGGTTTAATCTCTTTCCTCATCTGAGCCACTCAAAAGGGCAGTCTGATAAGTGTGACTGGACTTCAACTTCTGAATCCCAATTATCTCTCCTCCTCCATGTCGGTTCATCCGAGTCAGAAGGCTGTAATAAATCATGAGTGAATTAGATTCGCCAGAAAAGTCTCCTTATTCTCTCACTGAAGGACTATTGGTCCTTAAAGCCTTTCTTCATGTCTGTATTAAACACAGTTATTATAGGTCTACACACCTGACTTCTCAGTATTTTTAAGTAATAAAGGGACTCATGGTGATGGAAATTTCATAATTGAGACTAAATTTAGGTCTGTCATCCATTTTGTTTTTTCACTGACCAGAGAGTAGAACTAAAGGAAACCAAGGCCTTAGTCCATTCTATTTGATCTATGTGGGACACTTTCTAGGTGAGGTATGTCTGCTTTGACTGGAAAAACAAGGACTTCAGAGGAAAAAAGGCAGCTCCAGGGCAGTTGGACCATAATTCCTCATGTTAAAAGTGACCCTTGCACTGCAAGGTGCTGCCATTTATTAGTTGGGTGACTTGGGTCAATTAGCTTTCTGAAACCTTAGTTCCCCCTTCTGTAAAGAATCAGTACATCATAAAATGATGAGGATAGAAAGGGATAATACAGGCTAAGTGCTTTCTGTGGCACTTAGGACACTTGGGACACAGTGTGTGCAAAGAAGTTAATAGTTGTTTCAGTCTTCACGTTGACAAGCACTTTAGAGAGCACTTCCGCTCTGGCTTTTTTTTTGTTGTTTTTTGTTTTTGTTACTGGGGAGCAAACTCTGTCCGTTGCACCTGTGAGGCAGGTGGCGGCAGAACCACTGAGCCAAATCCCTGGTCCCTCTGGCTGTCTTAATAGTCATGTTTCTGAGAAGAAGGCAAGGCAAGTCCCGAAGTCAGTGATGGGTCAAGGATGACAGAACAGGGTCTCAAGCTCAGTACTGATTACCAGCTCAGAGTTTTCTCCAATTTCACCACAGGTTTAAAAGTTGACTGTGACCCAGGCAGGTCAGGCACCAAGCCTCATCAAGGTTGCAAATCAGACTTGTGATACCCACCCTGCAACCATAGTGTGTCTTTGACAAATTTGGGCATATAATTAGCACATTAAATGTGGCCATTACCATGATTTGGGGGGTTGGTTAGGATGGAAAACTTGACAAGAGTAACGCTCACTTAAACATACCAGTAAACAAGAGAGTAGTTGAGGGCCACAATGCAGAGGGCTACCAGGTAGTGCCAGCAGTAGCACATAGTGATGAACATGATGTTGGCCTTGTCATTCTGGTCCCATTCAGGTGTCCCAAAAGGTGGGAACAGCACAAATCCAATCTGGTGGGTTAGACGGACATATTGGTCTTTTGGTTAGTTAACCTGAGAAGCAGCTCAGGCTTCTTCCATGGCCATCAGAGTGGCTTGGACACTCCCTACTATCTCATGCAGGAAAGTTGCTCTAAATTAAATCACACAGCAGAACCTCAGGGCCTGCATTTCATGTGGGCAGTTTAACGAGTTGGTCTCATCCCAGGCAGCAGTGCTTGCTGTGTGATGTACACAGGTTCTTGCTTGTTAATGCACCAGCAGGATATTAATGGAGAAAATTGTATAGGGATGAACAAGAGGAGAAAAAGGCTACCTAAACCCATTCCCGTGGTCGGTCTCCTGTATTTGCAGTCAACATGTCACCCTGAGGACTTCTTTGGGCATTCTCAAATACTCTTTCCCCCAGTCTAGGCCCTGTGTGGATTATTGGTGTGAATAATCACCTGCCAGAACCAGGTTCCCTGGAAAATAATGAGACTGGTTCGGAAAAGTTCCAGCACAATATTGTCCCGAAAGATCACCTCTAGGGCTACACTGATACTTCCTCCAAATAAACAAAATAGCAGGAGTGAGTGGATATGTTGGTCCAGCAGAGGTCTGTCATGAACGTGGAAGTAGAAGAGAAAACCTGTGGTAAACCAAAAGACACTCATCAGAGACTTGGCTTTTTTCTACTTGGGGGATTAGGGGCTTTTCCACTATTGGACTTTCCTCCTACACCTGTTTCGAGGCTGGGTTCTTTAGCATTTAGGAAGTCAGTTTTTATGTAACATTACAGGATAACGAATGGATACATATAATTTTGTGGATGTGTTAAGACTAGCAAAGGATGTAACTTGAGTGCAGAATCCATGGTGCATTTTTTTTTTTTTTTTTTTTTTGGTACTGGGGATCGAACTCAGGATCTTGTGCTGAGGCAGGCAGCAGCACCACTGAGCTAAATCCCTAGTCCTACTGTAGGTATTTCATAACATTGAAAAGCTGACTAGTACAATGGGTGTCCTGAGATTTGTCATGGAGGCTGGACAGTAACACCTCAGCATATGAGCTGTATAGTTTTTCTTCCAAACCAAAAGGACTAATCTCCCCCCTCCCCTAACATTCAGCCAGTCCTGTGGCATTTTGTAAGTAGGTGTGCACACACACCCATGCACAGATGTGTGCACATGTGTGAACATGCATCAGTGGCATCAGGAAGCTGGGAGGGCTTGTGCAGAAGTTTGAGAAGGTCCTCCCTGTCTCAGTCTTCCATGAGTTGCCTTGTGGAATTGTTATCTGGACATCCAGAGCACAGGACCAAACCGATTCAGTATTTGGTAGTACTGAGAGTTGGATTTGCTGGGGAGGGTTGTTGTGTTTGCTTTATTTCTCATCTTTTGTACTCTGATCCCCCATAAATTATATCTGTCTCTCTTTGCATTTCTCCATTTTAAGTTACCTTCAATAAATATTGCCACAGCCATGACCAATCTGTCCACTCCCAAGGGGATGTGGGTGACCAGGAGGGTGAGCATGTCAACAATTCCTGAGACTCCGAAGAATAAGTACATAGTACTGTGTTGCCAGTTCATTAGTTTTACCCAGTGGTTTTCACGGTAGAGGTGGAGGTGGGGCCCATCAGGAACAAACTGTTCTGCCAGGATCCCTGTAGGGAAATGAATAGAAAGTGAGGAGGGAAGAATAAGTAGCCTTGAGACAGAAACAACAAAAGGCATGAACACAGTCCAGATATGGTGATGATGGCCCACAGGTCATCAGACTGACTTTGCTACCTCAGGTGAGGCTATTTCAGTATAGAAAAAGTGTTTGCTGAGTGATCTGTGTAGACACCTGGTGGATGTTGGCCCTTTGAGGACTGGAGACGGGAAAGAAGCTATAGAAACATAGCCACACGCAGATCCTGAGGGAGTTTATCCAGCAGCAGAGATGAAAACAAGGCATTACTTAAGTGAGAGTGGCTGATACATCTTTGGGCTCCCCTGCCAAGTGAGCAATGAAAGAGATCCTATGTTGATCCTTCTGCTTGCATCACCTCTTTGGAAAGGCAGGAGGTTTGCCTTCATGCCAGGTGTCCAAAATGTTCATCTATTTCACAAAGTCTGGAAAATGAATTAAAGATTCTGGATATGATAGGGAGATTGCCTGGATCAAAAGACCCTGCACTTACCGATGAATGAAAACAAAGTCCTGACAGTGGCTTCAATGAGCTCAATACGCTGCTGAAGATGATTTAGCTTGTTCTTCTTCCCTCTTTGGTGAAAGTATTTCAGTGGGTACTTCACTGACCACCACAGGCCAATTATCAAGAAGAAACTACCTGGGAGAGCATGGCCCTTGAAGTTTGCCATCAATGCTCTAGGACACATAAAATGTTAGGGACAGCTGTTAGGTGGCTAAGTGAAAAAGATGTACAAATACATATTTTGGCAGGAAACAGCACATGCCTGAGCTTGTCAAATCATAAGCATTCAGAAGGATCAACTGATTTCCATAAGCCTTTATAGTATTACTGAAATCCTGCAAGAGAGTTATGTGATGGAGAGAGTACCACCCCTTATAAGGCTTTAGAAAGGTGATTAAGACATGAGGCCTCCTGCATCATGAGGGAGACTAGGTGCCATTAAAAGGGGGCTTGATGGAGTTGGTCCCCTGTTGTGGTTTGTTTAGATGTTTGCTCAAAGCCTTCAGGTGGACAAATTTTCTGCCAGAGCATAACACACATAGGTAGGAGTCCAACTGCCAAAGCAGTCCTTATTCCCAACTGAAACCTCTTGAGAATGGTCTTTACTCATTTTATTACTGTTAACATTCTTTTGAGCTCTGACAATCTCTCATCAAGCTTTTCCAGGGCTACTTCTCCAGTCACTTTTTCCAAACCTTTCCAAATTCCTCCTTCATGCCAGTTCCAAAGGCTTCTAAACCACATGGATAGGTAGTCACAGTAACAACCCCACCCGCTTCTGTGGTACCAAAATCTGTCTTAGTTATTTTCTTCATTGGGGGGACAAAATACCCAATACCCACAATTTAAGGAAGGAGAAGTCCATTATTGATTGGTTGATTGTTTTTTGAGACAGGGTCTCCTTGTGTAGTTCAGGAAGAAATACTATGTAGTTCTTGAACTCACTATTGCTGGCCTTGAACTCACTTTGTAGCCCAGGCTGGTCTCAAAACCATGGCAGTTCTCCTGCCTCAGGAGTGCTGGGATTACAGGTATGTACCACCACACCCAACAGAGAGGTTTAGTTTGGCTCACAGTTTGTAGATGTTTCAGGACATATTTCACTAACTTCAAGGCAGATGGCATGGCACAGGAGTAGGTAAAGGATTGTACATGAATCTTTGGGGGGCCAGGGGCAGAATGTTATGGTTTGGGTCTAGATGTCTCCCCAAAGCCTTATGTGGTCATAGGCTAGATATAGTGTGTGAAGCTGGAATTGATTCATGATGCAGTGCTAGGCTCAAGGGCACTAGGATTAAGGGTGTGAGTGCAGTGCACCCTAAGTAGTTTGAATAAGATAAAAGGGGCAAGGAGACATTGTGAAGCTCTGTCTTGTTGCCTTTGCAGCCTTGTGCATGTGATGTTGTTTCTCCTCTTCAATGTCTGTTTGCCATTCCTGTTTTAGAGCCAGCCAACTATGGACTGAAATCTCTATGAAACGTAAGCCAAATAAACCCCTTCCCCTCTAACTTTGTTTGTGAGATATTTTGTCTCAGCTATGAGAGGAAAGTAACTAATATATCTGCCCCCTTTGCCCCTGGGCTTTGCGTGAATTCAGCACTTGCTTGACACCAAATGCTGGGACCTTGATCTTAGACTTCATTTAACAAAAAATTTTTATTGGTACATGTTTGCCGTACATAATGATCATATTACTCATGGGGAGTTGGTACATATACATAATGCATCTCAGTTCTTTGTATCCCCTTCCCTTCCCTGCCTTCCATCTCTTGGTCCCCTTTCCTTTTGTTGTCATTGTTGTAGTTTTTTTGTAGACAGGGTCTTGTTATGTAGCCCAGACTGGCCTTGAACTTGTGGCGATCCTCCTACCTTAGCCTTTCAAGTCCTGGAATTACCAGCATGCGCCACCATGTTTGGCTTCCTTTCCTTTTGCAAAAGATCCATCTCCCTATTTCCTGTTGTCCATTTCTTTAATTTTACCTATTATGTTTTGACATTTTCACATAAGAGGATCTGTGCAATATTTAAGCTTGTGTCTCTGATTTACTTAACATTATGGTCTCAAGGTACATCCCTTTTCCTACAAATAACTTAAGTTTATCCTTCTTTATGGCAAAGTAGTACTCCATTGTGTATAAATACCACATCTTCATCTGTTGATGGATATAAATAGGCTGCTTCCAAGAGTTAGCTATTGTGAATTGTACTGCTATGAATATACCTCTGTGTGTACCACTGTAATATGATGGCTTTTTAACTGTTTCAGGAAGACATGTAGAAGGGGAATCGCTGGGTCACATGAAATTTCTATTTTTAGTTTTTGAGAAATCTCCGTACCAATTTCCATAACGGCTGTACTACTTTACATTATCACCAACAATGTAAAGGGGCTCTTTTTCCCCTAAATCCTTGCCTGCATTTGTTGTTATTTGATTTCTTGATGATAGACACTCTTTCTGGGGTAGGAGATAATCTCAGTGTTGTTTTAATTTGCATTTATCTAATGGCCAGTGATATTGAACATTTTGTTATTTATTGGCCATTTGTACTTCTGAGATGCATCTGTTCATTTGAGTTGTACATTTTTTGACTGAGTCTTTTATTTTGAGGGGCTCTAATTGTTTTTCTGAGATCTCTATATAATCTAGATATTAACCCTTTGGGGCATAGCTGGCAAATTTTTTTGTAGGTTGTCTCTTTACTCTGTTACTTGTTTCCTTTGCTATGTAGAAGCTTTTAAATTTGATATGATCATATTTTTGATTCTTGATGTTATTTCTTGGGCAAGTGGGCTTCTGATTAGAAAGTCTTAGCTTATTGCTTGTATCTTCAAGACTTTTACCTATTTTACCTTCCAGCAAGTAGTTTAAGTTTTAATGTTTGGAGCATTGATCTATTTTGATTTTAATTAGCTACATAGTGAGATATATCAATCTAGATTCATGTATGCAGCCAATTTTTTCAGCACCATTTATTAAAGAGGCCATTTTTTCCTCCAGTGTATGTATTTGGCCCCTTTGTCAAAGGTTAGATAGCTGAATGTGCCTAGAGTTGTTTCTGCATCTTTTATTCTGTTCCATTGATCTATATGTCTGTTTTTGTGCCAGTATCATGCTGTTTTTATCAGTGTAACTTTGTAATATAACTTGAAATATGGGATTGTGATGCCTCTTACTTTGTTCTTGTTTCCCAGAATTGTCTTTGCTATTCTGGGCCTCTTCTGGTTCTGTATAAATTTTAGGATTGTCTTCTTTAGTTCTGTGAGGAATTCTCTTGATACTTTGATTGGGATTGCATTAAATCTACATAGAAGTTTTGGTAAAATGGTTATATCGACAGTCCTCATTCTGGCTCTCCAGGAATAGATGATATTTTCTGATATCCTCTTCGATTTTATTTTTCAGAGTACTGTAGTTTTCACTGTAGAGGTCTCTTACTTCCTTGGTTAGGTTAATTCCCAAGTATTTTTCATAAAGCTATTGTGAATGGTTTTGTTTTCCTAATTTCTTTCCTGGTGTACACAAATGCTATTGATTTTTGTGTATTGGTTTTTTACGTCGCCACCTTGCTGAATTTGTTTATTAGTTCTAGAAGTGTTATGGTTTGTATATAGATGTTCCCCTAAAGCCTCATGTGGTCATAGGTTGGGCTTTTTGGAGGTAGCTGGATCTGGAGTGTGTGATGCTGTGATCAAGGGTGTGTGATTACTAAATTAGTCCACTCATTGGTTTGGCATAGTTACAGGTAGGGTTAAAGGTGCCCCATCCTGGGTGTGAGTGGTACCCACCCTACTGGTAGGTAGACTGGATAAGATGTAAGGGATAGAAAGAGGGCTGCTTGTTGCTTGCTACTGTTGCTGGTTGTCTTCTGTTGCTGCCTGCTATGTGATGCCTCTCTGCCATGCTACCCTGACTTGGAGCCAGCTGATTATGTCCTGAAACCTCTAGAAACTGTAAGCCAGAATAAACCTTTCTTCCTTTATCTTTGGGTAGTGAGTGTTTGTTCTGAGCAATGAGAAAAGTAAAACAAGAAGCCTTTTGGTGGATTTTTTTTTCATCTTCTATGTAAAAGATCATGTCTTCTGCAAATAAGGATAGTTTACGATATATATTCCTTCTATTTCTTTCTTTTGCCTGGTTGCTTTGACTAATGTTGGGAGTAATATATTGAACAGGAGTTGTGATAGAGGACATACCTGTCTTGTTCCTGATTTTAGAGAAAAAGGTTTCAATTTTCCCCATTTGATATGATATTGACAGGTTTATCATAAATAGCTCCTCATGCTGAAATCAGGTCCAGCTTGTCCTATTGAATACCTACTTGAGTTCGAGGGAGATGTCCATGTGCTGGAATTTGGGAACTGTTCTGATTTGTTACTCGGATTTTGTCATTGACAGGACATGCCTACCTCCCCAGCCAGCTTTTCCAGTCCCTATTTTCCGCTTTTTTAAAAAAAAACTTTCATATATTGGTCTAGAAATGTTAATTTATTTTATTTTATTTTTTTTCCATGTGTACAGGGGTAACACATCGTACTAAATATGTAAGGTCATATCTACGTGGGTTTGATTACAGAAACTAATAAAATATTCTCTAAATAATGAAAAAAGAATAAGATAAGACTATAAGAGCGAGAAGCAATTTAAATATGTTCAGGGACCGTTTTCATCTCCAGAATTAAGGATTATTTTGATGTTACAGCATTGCCTTTTCTCTTTTACTTTCCTTTTTAGTTTTATTTTAGGATTCCCTATTTTTAATGTTCATACAGAGATTTCTTTAACTGAAATACCGAATAGTTTCTTTGGTGTGAAAAACTGTAATAGTACACAGGATCCTAATGAGACAATTAATAATGTGAAATAGGAAGTAAAGGGCTAAAGGTGTAAGGAAAGTGGGAAGGGCGGGGGAAAGGTAATAAGGGAGAGGAAAACAATATGAGAAACTGAAAAAATGGAAATAAAGTGTTTGTAAATGGGGAGGGGAGGAGGGGGTGAAGGGAGGGCAGGGACAAGGGGAAAAATGAGAATCAAGACCTATTATGTAAAGATACAGAATCCCAATGATGAATGTAACTGTATTTGTATACCTAGATTGTACCAATAACCTCAATAAAAAAGAAAAAAAATTTCATTAAAGTATTTAAAGAGTATTGGTGTTAGATCTTCCCTAAAGTTTTTATAGAATTCAGCAGTGTATCCATCAGGACCTGGGCTTTTCTTAGTTGGTAGGATTTTTATTACTGCTTAAATTTCATTGCCTATTACTAGATTATTCAAGGTTTTGAAATTGTGGTTAAGTTTGGTAATTCATATGTATCTAGGAGTCTATTTTTTCTGAAGTGTCCAATTTATTGGCATGCAGGTTTTGGAAGTAGTTGCTAATAATCTCCCAGATTTTGGCAGTGCCCATTGTGATGTCATTTTCTTCCTTTTAATTGCTTTTAATTGGGTCTCTCTCTCTCTCTCTCTCTCTCTCTGTAAGATTGCTAAAGGTTTGTCTATTTTGTTTATTCTTTCAAATAACCAAATCTTTCATTCTTGTTTCTTGTATTGTCTTTTTAATTCAATTTCATCAATTCTGCTCTCGATAATATCCTTACTTGTACTAGCTTTGTATTTGGATTATTGTTTTTCTAGGACCTTCAGGTACATCATTAGGATATTTATTTTGGCTTAGTCTGTTTTTCTGATGTAGCCAGAGATATACTTTCCTCTTAGGTTGCTTTCATTGTGTCCTATAAATTCTGCTATGTTGTACTGGTGTTATCATTTGATTCTAGGAACTAATATCTTTCCTGATTTCTTCTGTGACCTAGTGATTATTGAAGAGTGTGCTGTTTAATTTCTATGCATTTGCACAATTTCTGTGGGCTCTTTCACTATTGATTTCTATTTCATTGTGCTATGATAATATGCATGAGATACTTTCAGTGATTTTGCATTTGCTTAAGCATGCTTTATTGGCTGGTATGTGGTTTATTTTGGAGAAAGTTCCATGTGCTTCTCAGAATGTGTATTCTATTGTTGTTTGGTAGAGTACTCTGTAGATATCTATTAAGTTCAGTGGTTTGGTTCCACTCTGATTATTTGTTGATTTTTTTTTTTTGGTCTAGTTGATTTTTGACATTGTGATGTTGTGGTTCCCCCACTATAATTGTGTTTATGTTTATTTGATATTTCATGTTATGAAGTTGGGTGTGCTTGTGTTCAGTGCATTTATATTTATAAATCAATATGTAGTGACCATCTTTGCTCCTTCTGATCAGTTCTGGCTTGAAGTCCACTTTATCTGAATATAGAATAGCTACTTCTGCTTTTTTATGCATGGAATATTATTTTTTAGTCTATAAATTTCTTTTCATATTAAATGTGTTTCTTTTTTAAAATGTGTTTATTTCATACAGCATATCATTGGGTGTTGTTTCTTGGTCCATTCTGCCAATCGGTATGTTTTAGTTGCTAAATTAAGACCATTCACATTGAGAGTTATTGCTGAAAAGTTTTGATTTATTCCTGTCACTGCATTATTTTTCTTTCTTTTTTGGGGGGAGTACTGGGTATTGAACTCGGGTCCTTGTGCTTGCAAAGCAGGCAGTGAAACCACTGAGCTAAATCCCCAGCCCACTGCATTATTTTTCTATTGCTATTGTCTTTGTTTTTCCTTTTGTTTAACTGCTCACCTGCCTGGTGTATTCATTCTATTAGACTTTTGGGCATTGTTAGCTTCATTATCTCTTTCTAGGATACCTTTGAGAATTTTTTGGAATGCTGGTTTGGTGATCATGAATTTCTTAAGGTACACTTTCTCTTGGAAATACCTTATTTCTCTGTCAACTTTGAAAGGCAGTTTTTCAGGAAATATAAGTAATTTTCTTCTCTCTCTCTTTTCCTTTCCTCTCTCTTTCCTTCCTTCCTTCCTTCTTTCTTTCTTTCTTTCTTTCTTTCTTTCTTTCTTTCTTTCTTTCTTTCTTCCTTCCTTCCTTCCTTCCTTCCTTCCTTCCTTCCTTCCTTCCTTCCTTCCTTCCTTTCTTTCTTTTCTTTCTTTATTTTCTTTCTTTATTTTCTTCTTTTCTTTCCTTTCTCCTTTCTCCTCCCCACCCCTGCCATCAAAGCTACAGATAGATATAGGATGGGTCAGTTCTAGTACAAGGAGAAAACAGGAAACAACTTCATTCCACTAGAACAATAAATGTTTAGATTTATAATAATTTGGATAACCAAAGAGGCTAAGCCCCTACGAAATCTATCTTTAATAGCTATCTTCTATCTCTTCTGCATTCCTTTCAAATAATTTGGCTGTGTGGCTTTTGGTTTTCTCCATGTATCAGCTTTGCAGGAATTTGGAGTTTTTGGAGGCATTTTATTGCTTTGTCTTCTCATGTTTCTGTTTTGTGCTAAGGTTTATGGGTTGATTATAGTGGAAGACTTTGTTAGTAGTAGGATGACCTCATTAATTACTATCTCTACTCTACTATATGCATGGCTATTTGTTTCTGTCCCAAGATCCAACCATTTTTGTTTATTTGGGAGAGAAGGTTGCAGTGTATTTGACTTAATATTCAGTTCTCTGGGAATAGGCTGTAGTTTTGTTAGTGACACAAAGAGAATCCAGAGATTGACATACAAGAGCAACAGCTATGTGGCCTTGGCAGTAGCAATAAAATCAGCAGCAGTAATAGTAGCATCAGTGAAAAACTGGATTGACATGGCTTAATAATCAGTATTATACCACCCTTAACTATAGCAAAGAGATCTATTATTATAGTATAGACACTAAGACAAACCAATTATTGACTTGGAGTAAATGTTTACTAAATTCAGTAATTGTACCTCCATTAACAACAGAACAGTATTCAGTGGTAATAGCACAGTTAACTATCTAAAGATTCAGGAAGCTTAATGGTTATATAAGTAGGGATAAAGGAGGTGAACTGGAGAATGAAAACAGTTGAATTTGAAAAATTAATCAGTGGAAGTTGAGAATGAGGAGTAGACATTGAGGTAAAGGACCCTATAGAGGGTTCAATTAATTAATAGTATTAGATAAAAGCAGAAAGGAGCAGACAGAAAAGCAAAATAAAGGAAAAATAATAAGGAAAAGAAGAATCAAAAGGACGGGAAAAAAAAGAAAAGAGAAAAAAACTCAAATTGCAAAAAAACAATGGAAGAAAACAAAATTCCTCTTTTGGAGTGAGTTTCTTTCCAGGTTCTGCAGTCTTGAATTCAGCAAGTCACAATTTTCTCTGCCTATCTTTATTACCTGTGGGTTCATGAGCTGCACCCCACCCTGTGCCCCTGTGCTTTGCTTCTGGGGCCCGTGTTCATATATTCTGGTCAAGTTGAGGCTTGCTGCTCACGTTGGTAGATGGGGAAAGCAATTAGATGACTGGTTTCTGCTGGATGTGGACAGAGGGCTAGGAGTTCAAGCAGTCTACTGGACTTAATGCCACTGCTTTCAGATCCAGCCACCTCTGATAGCCACACTTACCAGGAAGGAATTTTTACCATGGAGTCCAGGGCCCAAGTCCTTCTCAGCCCAAGCTTAAACTCAGGGGGTCTGTCTAACCTGCACCCTCTCCATAGCTGTGTCCTGTGGCTGTTTTTCACCAGTTGCAATGGGAGGGTAACACTAGAAACCCTGATGTAGGATTGTTCTGTAGTTATTTTCTGGCTCAGTCTTAACATCCCCTTCCCACAATGTTACCTGATATAAACACTTTCTTGTAATCTGGTGGGTGCTGCACTGGATTTCTTCTCTAGCTCTATCCTGTCATGGAGTCATTCAGAGTGAAACCTCAGACTGTTTTTGTAGTTTACAATAGCTGTGGGATTTTCCTGGGACTAGGGCTGCTGGCCAGCCTGTTGTTTCTCCCTGGAGCTATAGACCCTTTGGGGCTTACCTTCCCTCCTGGGGTGTTGGCCTTGTCCACAGTCAGGTCCCTTCGTTGGTTGCACTTCTCTTGTCTTGTGCTGAGGGGAAACAGAACACAGAGTGGGCTTAGAGTTGGTGGGTGGCTGTGGGCAGGGCATGGAGTCCACAGACGTGGAATTGGTGAGGGGTGAATACCACAGTGAGTGCAGGTTCTGTCTGATGTTAGACTTCCTACTTATAGAACTGTGAAAAATTTCTGCTGTTTATAAATTATGCAGTCCATTGTATTCTATTACAGAAGTAGAAGACAGGCCAAAATAGAAATCTAGAAAGGTCCCCTAACAACATAAAGTGCCTATGGTCTGCACAGCTACTAGTTTAGATAAATATGGTGAATATATTTTTTTGAAGTTTATTATCATGAAGTTTATTATCCTGGAGAACAAAGTTGCTTAGCTCACAAAGCTGGTGGCTGAGAAGCAGAGAGGAGGAAGCCAAGATCCCAATATCCCCTGCAAGGGTCTATGTCCAATAACCTTCCTTCCACTAGGTCCCATTTTGAGGTCACACTACCTCTCAGTAGCACCACAGGCAAGCAACTAAGACTCCAATATCAGGCCCATTTAGATCTAAACTAGCATGGCAGAAAGGGCTCCACATGCTTGCTGTGGCCCATGTGCCATAGGTTCATCAACACTGCTGTAGTTTATAAACCAACAGTGTTGCAATTATTTGCTCTAAACAATTTCATATTTTAAAAAATTTTTAAATTTTTTTGGTACCAGGGATCAAACTTGGGACCTTGTACTTGTGAGGCAGGCAGCAGAACCACTTAGCTAAATCCCTGGCCCTAACAATTTCATATTTTAAAGAATGAGTATATGTAAATTCTCCTAGCCTTACAATGGGAGATACACATATATTTAGTTTCTTAGTCAGCTGGGGATGTCTGGAGAAGTTATTTCAATTCTTCTATAACTTTATTTCCAGGATCTCCCTGTTAAGTTCCCCATTAGTCTGATGTTTGCCCCAAGTAGGGCTATAGCCTCAGGCTAGCAAAGCTGTTGCTTTTCCCTTCTTATTTCAACCCTGTAGTCATTCCTATGTTAACCAGCAAACCTGAGGATTTTTCAACCCTTCAGCTGTTTCTCTAAATCCAGTCTTTCATGTGGCAGTAAAGGTACTGGTTTTTATAGCCAGCCTAGTCTTACTTAACATCTCAGATTGAGCTAGAGGAGCAATGAAAATAGCCCTAGGGTAAAAGTTAATCCCTTGCTATTCTTAGAGGAAGATCTATTGGTTATTTCAAGAATGTCAGTTTTAGTACAAGTAGAAAACAGGAAACAACTTCCTTCCACTAGAACAATAAAAATTAAGACTTTTTTTTTTTTTTTTTTTTTTTTTTTTTTTTTTTTTTAAAAAATTAATTTTTTTTTTTTTTTTTTTTTTTTTTTTTTTTTTTTTGGTTAATGGGATCAAATTCAGGTCCTTGTGCTAGACTTCTCATAATTTATATAACCAAGAGGCTAAGCCCCCAAGAAATCTAGCTTCAAAAATAACTGAAGTAAACTATTCATTCAAAGAAAATATTAAAATTTAAATATTAAATTTAAAAAGTAAATACTTCAGCGATTTGCTCCCTAATAAACACAGTAGAGTCATTACACACTAACACCTACTCTAATGAAAAATCCACACAGCATCATAAGAACTAAGGAATTGGCTTTCACAGCCAAAGGAAAAGGCACAGCGAATTTCTCCCAGTTTGTGGTGACAAAGTACAAAATGTATAGACCACCAATTGTCACAGAGAATCTGAACAAGACATCCTGTTGACTGAATAAATTATATTTTATCTCCACTATGTAATATCATGTAACCACTACAAAGAATGAATTAAGACTTACATTATCTGAACTGGGTGGTTTCCCATGAGGTATTGGCAGAGACAAGCAACATAAACAGGACTACTATGACCCCATTGTGTGAAATAATATGTCGTGTTTCATTTATGGGGTTACACAGATGTATATATGACATATGAACAAAAAAGCAATATGGAAGATTATGGGAGGTATTTAATGGCCGTTACTAGGCCTTTCTGGCTTTCTGTCTTCCAGGCACATAGTATGATTGCACTTCTTTGGGACTAGGTGGAGTCTTGGGATTGGTTCTGGCCAATGAATTTTGTAGTCTAGTGTCTCTTTTTTTGGTTCTGGGGATTGAACTTGGGTCCTTGCACTTGTGAGGCAGGTGGCAGAACCACTGATTTAAATCCCCAGCCCTGGTGGATGAACTTTGAGTAGTATTGGGTTACTTTTGAGATAAGCACAAAATCAAGACTTCCCAGCACGTGTCCTTTTACCACAATGACTCCTGGTGTTCATGATGGTATCTCCTCATCCAACCTGCATGTGAGAGTAAACACACATGGAGCTGAACTCCAAAGAAACCTTGATGAACAGTGGCATGAGGGAGCATACACAGTTATAATGAGCCACTAAGCTTTGTGTATTGTTTTGAACTGGAATAACTTAACCTGTTCTGAATTATAGAGAGATGAATGAGGCTAACATGCTATGGAGTAAGACTATTCAGATTTATGGAATTTTTAAAAAAGTGCTGAAAAACTTTATTAAGTACAAAGAAGAGGTATGGTGTTGTAAGAATGGCAGAAATTGTGCCAGAAATGTGCCTTAGTCTTCATTCTGTTGATACAACCCGATAGCACAGACTGGGCAATGTGTAATAGGAGTTTATTTAGCATGTGGTTCTGGAAGAAGAGAACCTGGATGTGGCTAAACATCCTATAAGGGCAGGATGGTCCCTCCAAACAAAGAATTCTGTGGCCCAAAGTATCAGTAGTGCTAAATTTAGCAGACCATTAGTTCTAGGCCAGCTTCTTATATCACCTTTGTCCTGAAAGAACCAAAAATCGGGCTGTGTCCCTTTCTTTGTTATTTCAACCATCATTTATTCCCTCTGAGAGAGGTTTATTCTTTCAGTCACTTAGGGGTATGTTTATGGAGTAAAATCCATTTCTTCAGGATTTTTTTCTTATTGCCTATATTGTTTTAAAAAATAACTGCTTGAGATGTAATTCATACATGTCATATAGTTTACCGATTTAATGTGTGAAAGTCAGTGATTTTTAATATGCCCACATTTATGTAGCCATCATGACAGTTTCAGGCATTTTCATCATAACCCAAAGACCCTCCACCCATCAGTAAGTCTCCATTCCCCCTAATTCCCACCCCCAAGCTCATACAATTGCTAATCTTTATGTATCTATAGACTTGCCTGTTTATAAACAGAACCCTACAAGGTATGGTATTTTGTGGCTGGATCGCTATGTTTTCAAGGTTCACTTGTATTATAGCATGTATCACTAATAATTCCTTTTTATACTGAATAATATTTTATTATATGAAATTAAACCACTGTTTTTTATTTCACTAGGGCTGCTGGAACAAAATTCCCAGACTAGGAGGCTTGAACAGCAAAAATGTATTTTTCCATAGTTCTGGAGACTAAAAGTTCAAAATGAAAGTGTTGGCAAGGTTAGTTTCATGTGAAGCTTCTCTCTTTGGCTCATCAAGGGCCACCTACTTTCTATATCTTCACATAGTCTTCCCTCCATATATGTCTGTATCCAGGACACTAGCCAGTTGGATTAGGACCAACCCTAAAGATCTCATTTTAGTTTGTCTCTTTATTAATACTGTTTCCAAATGCAATCACATTTATGGTACTAGGAGTTAGGAGTTTAACATTTGAATTTGGAAGGACAAAATTTAGCCCATAACCCCTTGCTTTCTGGTCCCTCAACACCCTCTTACATCCAAAGTATATTCAGCCTATCCCAACAGTGCCCAAAGTCTTAAACCATTCCAGCATCAACTATCAGTCAAAAATCATTTTCTAGTAACATCTAAATCAGGTATGGACAAGACTTGAGGTATAATTAAGCCTGAGGCAAAACTCTTTTCCAGCACTGAAGCTTTAAAATGAGAGAAGAAATTATCTGCTTCCAAAATAGGACAGGCATAGAACAGACATTTTCACTCCAACACAGGCTGGAGGTATTGGAAGAAGACAGTGATCATGGGTCTCAAGAAACTTTAAAAATCAGCAGGGAAAATCAGATTAGGTTTTTAGGCTTGAAGGTAATCCTCTTTAGCTAGGTGCTCTGTTGTTTGTGTTCATAGGGTGGTCCTGCCCTCTTGACCCACTGGGACAGTGGCCCTGACCTGTGGTCACCAACCTTTGTTCTATGGGCTCGGGCAGCTTGGCCTGCTGAAGCTGAGGAGATTTGGTCCCCAGTGCTTCAGTGTTTCATTTTGTTTTGCTTTTACAGATTTATTTATAAATTCACTATGAAAGATAACTCAGTCATATAAAAAAAGAAATTATGAAAGTTTTAACAACCTTATCAGCATCATTTTCTTATTTTAGGGGCAGTTTTTTCTGATGGCTCTGAAAGTCAATGTAAGACGATTGTAGAAATCTCAATTCTTTGTCACAATTACTCCTTCACTCCAAATAACACCTTTATTGACATAATTCACACACCATAAAATTCACCCTTTAAAAGTGTACCATTCAGTGATTTCTGATGTATTCAGTTGTGTGCAATCATTACTACTATATATCTAGTTTTTAATAAATTACAGCGCAATTTGGGACTTTTTTGCCAATACCAAAAGAAGTCCTTTACCTATTAGCAGCGGTTTCCCATTTCCTTCCAGCCCTCCAGCTTTGGTGATCACTGAATCTCTGTAGATTTTCCTATTTTAGACATTTAATGTAAGTAGAATTATACAGTGTTCCAGCTGCTGGTTGAAAAGACTCCTCCGCCCCAGTGAATTGTTTTAATACCCTTCTACATTTTCCCCCCACTGCCTTGTGCCTAGGCAACACTTTTAAAAGTAAATTTCATGAATCTTTAAGAAGGACCTTTAACCTGCTTCAAACTGTGATTAATTAAACTATGATGATGCATAACAAAAAGGCCATGCTAGAGTCTACAAGTATTAAGAAAATAAAGGGAGGAAACCTGTTCAGCTGGGTTCATGGGGTGAAAAGGCAGAAAGGT